TAGACTGTTGCTTTCCACAGCACAGCAACTGCACGAAAATTGTTGTCATAGCATTAGAGTGTGAGAAAGGACCAGAGATTCCAGGTTATTTTTTTCATAATTCTAAACAGGTTGAAAAAAGGTTACATGAAAGTAGGATGTTGTTATAATGAAATGGTCACCTGCCCCCAGCCAAATAGAAAGAGATTGTCCACTCTTTTTTTTTTTTATGTCCAAAAACTGCACGAGTCCAGAGAGTTGGCAGGATAAGGAGCACCGGAGACAAAGGGCAGCTATACTCTTGTGTACTTTTAGGGTTATGTGTAGTATCCGCTCACTCAGTATACATTTGTTCCTCTGCTGTCTTCACTATAGGACTTGCAGCAGTGTCACTCACAACATGAACTCAGCTGATTTTTTTTCTAATTCCATAGAAACCTTTTCCCTGCTGAGAAAAGGAACTTCTCATTTTTCTTTTTGAAACCATATAATTAGGTGACCCTTGAGAGATGCACCCAGCTGAGGTAACAAGCAGGAAGAACTATAGTTAGGCTGTCTTGGCTGGTTTGAAGTAAGATGTACCAGTTGCCTGTGCTCTTGATTGCAAGACCACAAAGCATGGAACAAAAAGAAAAATAAAAGTTGGTGCTTACAAATATGTGAGCTGCAATGTGGAGAGAGATGGCAGTCAGCAACATTCTGTACACTCCTACATAGTCCTAATTAGTTATAGTGAGGACACCTGTGTGGGTGTGCCGCCTGTGTTTGTGGGCTGGAATCAGAGCGCACTGTCATATCAGTAAAGTCAATCACAAGTATGAAAGAAAATCACACCGAGGACATGATCTGAAAATTACAAAACAATACAGGAAACCAAAGTGTTATCAAAAGTCAGCCTTTTGATTGTTACTCAGTTGTTTGCAGTGTTGTTGAAACCGCGATTTATCTGCAAATAACAGGACTCTTTTCTGCTAAATTAGCATAATAAGCATATTCACTTGGTGTTGTTTCCCACCATGACTCAAAGACAGTCAGAAACACATGGGCCTCAGCAGGCCTGCATATATCTAATATGTAAATGTGGCAAAAATGGAGTTTGTGCAATTCTACTGAGCTTGAAAGTCAATATTTGGTATGACAAAATCAGATTGCTCTTTTCTGTGTTCATTATTCCTTCATCTTTGACAAGATCCCCAAATGCAGTTCCAAACCATGACAGAGGCTCCACCATGTTGTACAGATGCCTGGAAACACACACTGTTGTACCTGTCTCATGACCTCTGGGTATTTGGTGATGATTTAAACCTAAGATTTGAATCCATCACTTCAAAGGTCCAGCTGCTTTTCAGTCCAGTTCCTGTGTCATTTGGCATACCTCATTCTTTTCTCCCCGTTTCTCTTCCTTAAGCATGTCTTCTTAAAAAGGACACGCTACGCACCAAAAGATCATATAAGTTATCAGTTTTTGGCTAATAACGCTTTTACTAATTGGTGCAACAGTACTATTTTGTGTTTGTCAGTGATGGCAAATTCTGTGTGTCTGAAGATAGAATTATATATTGGTTCTTTGCTAAATTCTCTTACGCTGGTTCATCCTTTGAGTTAGGTGCCTTTTGTACTTGAATGATTCATAAGTCATAATAATAAATCCTAACCCATTCCTCTGAAAATGGTCAGGTAGAATGACTGGACTGAAAATAAGTGAGTGAAGTAAAAATTTGAAAGACATTCAGAAATCCTGGAGAACTATTGCTCAAGATTACTGGCTTTTTGGAGGCCAAATCTAAAGAAATGAGAGCTGGCTTGAGGCTTTTGAACAGTACTGTACGCCACGGTATGAGGCTATAGTGAAACTGATCGCTTCATCACACAGCCGGTAAGGATTGGACAGAGTCAAATCGTTAAGGCTGCATGATTACACTTTTATGGGTGGCAGTCGTATTAATGCTGCTACCACTGTCATTGCTACAGTTATTGTGTTATTTGGGGGATGCACACTTCTTATGGTGACCACCTCAGACATTACCCTTCTTTAAAATTGCTGTCTACTTAAAAACCGGAGTGCAGTTATTTGTGGCTGATTTGTGAAGTGATGTAACCACCGTTCTTATGATGGCAGTTCTACATATAACACTTAGATGTAACTGAGTAGACAGTTCTTAAAGTCATTTGACTGTGCCAGGGCCTCTGACTCACCGTCTTTATCAGACAGTCCATGTATGTTCTGGTAACAAAATAATGATCAAATTCACAGTTGTTCCAAGGCAGCTGGCAACTGTTAAGGTGGAATGTTTTCCTACATATAATTTAGTGCATGAGTTGGCAGCTTGAGTTGTTCTGGCTGTTTAAATGCTCAAACATCTTTGTCTTTTAGCTTTAAAAAAAGATACACAATTAAAAAACAAAACAGGGAATCAATGAAAAATAACGACAGTAAGAAGAAAATGAGACAAGAAGAGAACTATCACTGTTGCCTCATAAATGGACACTGGTCAAAATGGTCAAAAATGAAAGGGTGCCAGATCTTTTCTCATTCCTTCTGTTTCATTTTAAGAAAAAATCCACTTGCTCCAAGTCTTAGCTCAACTAACCAACAGTGACCATTTATTTTGGTTTTGTCGGCCCTCTCTCAACATACTCTTGAGTGGTGATTGCATCTTCTAGCATTTGAAAAGATGTGCATTAATTAACCAAGCTGTAAATATTCTTATAGCAATCTTTGTCCGAGTTCTGTCACAGTTATCCAGAATTGCACATCAATGATTCTCATCCTCAGCTCCTCCCCTCGTGTCTTAATCACTCCCACTAGAAATGTGAGCAGAGGAGGCAAGAAAACAGCCTTCTAACTTCTAACAAAAACGAGTCACCTTTGACTTGGATCCATCACTTTAAAGCAGTGACAATTAAATGTGACCTTTGACATACTGTTCTGTTATAGTGTAACTGCTGTTGTGCCTGTGATAAGGAGGTGTGTTATTTTTGGTTCAGAATAACTGGTATTTTGTTTCAAAGTGTAAATGTGCCTGGAAGAACTGGTTACTTATTATACATTTACATGATTTGTGTGTGTGATTCTGTCTTTGCCTTCCAGGCACTCGAGCAGCTGTTTGGTGTATGGCAGAATGAGTCTGTTAGATAAAGAGACAATTTTAGCCACATGAAATCAAATGTAATTGATTACTGTGTGGGTAAATGTGTGTTGAATCTGTTATGAATAAGGGTGCTAATTTTAGTGTGAAGTGGAGGCAGTCACTTATCACTTATACTTATTATACTTAGGACTCACCTGTTTTTCTTCTTTGTACTTTTTGAGGGTGTTCAGGCGACTGTATCCCCAGAGAATGGAAAACAGTCTAAAGTTTCTGGGAAAGACCAAGAATGGAATTGTGTGTGGGATCCTTTTTTTTTAAATTTTAGATCCTTTTAGGTATTTTTATTTTTTTTTTTAGTTTTTTATTAAATTGTTTAATGTAAATCCAGTATTTGTGTTAGTGACCGTTTCTATTGTAGTTTATAATACGGAAAATTGTTTTGCTTGTCGTAATTGCCTTTTGTAAAATTTGGAAACAGCCCTGTCTAGCAAAGCGTGGGCCATTAGCAGCAGGGTAGAAATAGCTGCCTGCTACCCAGTCGGGGGTTGCTGCTTGTGGATGTCACAAGTGCTTCATAGTCCCGCAATGTTGAACACTACATTAAAGGCATGGTACATAAAAATAACAAACGCTGGTCTGCACCAAGTTCTTCCTCTCTGGTCAGTGATCGAAGCTTAGCTGCTGTCAATTCAATTCACAACATGGTGCAGTGCAACAACATATCAGACACTTTTTTTAAATCGCACACAGAGAAACGGTGAAAGGCATGAAGTTTGATCATCTTTATAAAAAACAAACCCATAAAAGTTCTTTTAAAGAGTCCTGTTCCTACAGTCATTTATTGGAACTGTAGACATAAATATATTCAATTCAATTCAATTCAATTTTATTTATATAGCGCTAAATCACAACAAAAGTCTCCTCAAAGCGCTTCATAGATACAGAGAAAAACCCAACAATCATATGACCCCCTATGAGCAAGCACTTTGGTGACAGTGGGAAGGAAAAACTCCCTTTTAACAGGAAGAAACCTCCGGCAGAACCAGGCTCAGGGAGGGGCGGCCATCTGCTGCGACCGGTTGGGGTGAGAGAAGGAAGACAGGATAAAGACATGCTGTGGAAGAGAGACAGAGGTTAATAACAGATATGATTCAATGCAGAGAGGTCTGTTAACACTTATACAATATATACATAAACACCTCTGCAAATGACACACCTGTGCATATCCTGGGCCCCTTCAGCAAGTCTCCTTTCTGAGCCGCCTTTATTACATTTTAGGAAGGGAATTTTGTGAATACCTCCCGACATGTGAGAAAGATATTTGGGCCTGAGCAGGACTGCATAGTAACCACATTGCATTGTTAATTTTGATGTTTATCTCTGAATAATTGGCTTAAAGTGAAGTATGTGATTTTCCATTTAGTATGAGTGTGTCATGGTCGTAAACAACCGCAGTCGTTCAGAATGCTCCTGCTCACCAAGATATGAAGACGAACCAAAGTGACTGTGTTCTCTGCGTATTAGAAATTTCCATAAAGAGTGTGGCATCGAATATTTTTGACTCAGTCCAGCTGGTAAAGAAACAAGTCTTCCGTTTATTCAGCAGAGTGTGTGGCTGCATTATTATCTAGCAATTCAGTTCAATTTTAGTTATACAGCGCCAAATCACAACTACAGTTGCCTCAAGGTGCTTTATATTGTAAGGTAGACCCTACAGTAATACATACAATGGCAGAACCACACAGGTGAACAGTGCTTGTAGCAGATATTCCACCTGGTCCTGTAAAAGCTGTAAATCTTTAGTTATAAGATGTAATATAATATAAATTGGGGCCACATGTCTGTGGGATCTCAGTATTTGATTTAATACTGACCCAAAGAGTCATTTTTTTAATTTATTTTTTTGTCCCTGCCTTGTTTTTTTTTCAGTGAGAGACATGGACAACTCCGTCACCCTGTGGCAGTTCCTGCTTCAGCTTCTGTTGGATTCCAACAATGAGCAGCTCATCTGCTGGACCAATGACGAAGGGGAGTTCAAACTGCTGCAGGCTGAGGAGGTGGCCCGGCTGTGGGGAGCCCGCAAGAACAAGCCCAATATGAACTATGACAAACTGAGCAGGGCACTCAGATACTACTATGACAAGGTAAGCACGTCTATAGTCTTCTATCAGGTGAGATACATCGCAGCTGAAAGCTCAGGGTTTTTTTGTTCTTCAAGTAACAGTTATTACACTTTCAGTTCATTAAGACTGAACATAAACCATTCATTGTTCTTCAGTATTCTTAAACATTCAACCAATTGCAGTCTGGTGTTCATGTAGGCCAGATGATGTCAGGATATGTTTTTTCCTGTGGCTGATAGGGTGGGTACTGTGTGGTTGGTGGGCTACCAGCTGCTGTGAGCCTTAACTGCCTTGAAAAGTTGTTCTTTGTTTTGTTTTTTTATTATTATTTGGGTGTTTTAAAAATCCCCCTCACCCAGCTGAACATGGGTATTTTAAAGAAGCTAGCAGAGGCAAAAGGGCTAAAGCTACTCATAGCCAGCCACAAGCTAGCAGGCTAAGTACAGGCAAAGGATCAAAGTGGTTATGAGGAGAATTATAGAGACAGGTGAAAAAGAGAGTAGCGTAAAAGTCTCTTTATCGAAGGAGTTTATAAACATACTGCAACGTGATACGAGTTACTGCCATTTGTTTTGCTGTACGAAACTGTTGCACCTGCTTCTGTGTTGTAAGCTAAAATATGTCAGGTCACTTGTTTTCAGAGTTTGTACCTCTTACAGCAGGAGAGCAGTTTATTTTCAGTTGTTTAAGTGAGAACTTGTGAAAACTGTAAAGTTGAATAATTTCTGTTATTGTGAAAATAAAACTTTTTATTGAAGAAAAGTTGTTTTTTATTTTATTATAGGTTTTAGAAAGAAAATCGGGTATAAAAAGAAGATCTGTATCGGCGGGATGCAGTTACAACAAATCAGAATCAGCCAAGAAAGTTGCAGTGATTGCAACTGTAATAATCTGAATCTGAGACTGGTCTGTTACTGGTAACACCACTTAAGTAACACAAAGAGTGACTAGTGAAACAGACTTAGCTTTCAAAGCTAACGGAGGCAGAGGGGAAAGAGCCAAAAGCACACAGTTGTGGCAATTTCTCAATTTTTTTTCCTTAGTCTGAAAAGATTTATATACTGTCTGTGGTTTTTGGACTCCTCATTTTGAAACGTGCACTTTGGAGCCAAAGCTGACCATATTTATAAACTGTGCAATGCAGAGACCTACAGCGGTAAGTAACAGACTAATAAAATAACTGAATTTCACTGAAATTGAAGCACAGACTTATTGAATGGGTTTTGTCTCGCAGCGGGACGTTATTTATCAAATTAGGCCATTAACATACTCAAACCCTCAAATGTGGTCAAGCAATCGAGTTCTTTGACTCCAATTAGCAGAGCTAAGGCCTAACCATAACCGCATCTGTCAATCCAAGCTGACATGCTCCTTACTGTAAACCTCAGTAAAATCCAAACAGGAGAAGTAAAAACAAAAACCCCTCAGCTACCATGCAGTTGTTGTGAAGGAGTAAAATAGCCATTAGTTGGAAAACCATTTTTAAACTGGGATGTAAATATGCTTTTTCACGATGTCAAGTTAAGGCTTTTAAACTGTGAGTCTGTGGTGATCACTTTGCTTTTACAGCCAGGTTCAAGTGACCTTTAGAGGACCTGCAGTTTACTCATGGTAGCGTCATTCAGCTTCAGAGATGGCACCTTGGGCTGAGGGCCATACAGGTTCAGATCATCTCTGATTTCTCTAGTAGAGATCAGCAATAGTTTTCCCACTAAATGTGCAGCACAGTCTCCTGGCCTTGTTTTCTAGATACTGATGATTGTTTTCAAAATAAGATAATGCTGGAGTATATGACATTAGCACAGTTAATCTATGATGAATCACTTGTTCTATTCTTGTCCTATTTCTCGAATTTCAAAAAGCCCCTGAGGTCAGATGAAGCAGAAGGGAATTTTAAATTTGAATATTTAAAAATGCTCCCCGGCATGTTGTCCGGGAGGCGGAATGTTAGCTACATAAAGACTCACATTCCAAAACGTGTACTGTAAGTTTGATCACATTCTGATGTGTGTGAAATCAGGTGTGCAGCTGTTGTGTGTTTTGAAGCAGCAGCTGGAGACTCGGAGGTCGTTTCCTCCAGACAGCTGCATCAAAGAGCAACCATTCCAGAGTATATACAGACGTATAGGAAAACAGTTTTCAGTAGTAATCTGTGACACATGTGGCACCATGATTGGCTTCAAAGCAGTAGTAATGTCACCGAATCATTCCCACTTCCTCTTTAAGTACCACACTTGGTTGTCTACAATAAGAGTCAAATGCATTTTTGAGTGTGGGGAGGGGCCTTTCAAACCTACTGCTCTGTGACATGTTGAAGAGAAGGAGAGAGCTGTCTGTCTCCCACTCTGCTCGCAGTTTGGCTGAGTCTCAGGCTGACCCTGTGGGCGTGCAGGGCAGGGCTGGTCTGGTATGTTTGGCTGCAGCATTCGTGGTTAGTAGATTCGTACAGACAGGAAAGACGGATCTGTCCCACGCACAAAGCCTTTCTGTGGTTTGACTCTATATTTTTTCTTAGAAACATACTACCACAGTCTCACACTGCACTATCTGTGTGCGTGCATAATTATCACGCTGTGTTTCTGTTTTGTAGAACATCATAAAGAAGGTGAACGGTCAGAAGTTTGTCTATCGCTTCGTGTCCTATCCTGACATCCTCAAAGGAGACGTCACTCGAGCAGAGGGCGTGGATGCGGGCGCAGGGGGTACCACTCCACTATCGAAGAGGGCAGACGACATTGTGCAGGAGGCCGAGTCTGGCGACAGAGCCAGGGTGGGAGTTAGCGCAGCATCTCTGGCCTCCAGCACCAAGCAGTCGAACCGCAATGACTACATTCACTCTGGCATGTACACGTCCTTCACGCTCAACTCGCTGCAAAATGGGCGGCAGCTCTTCAAGTCTATCAAAATAGAGAATCCAGCAGAGAAGATGGCTGAGAAGAGGGCTGTCACTGCTGCTTCACAGGGCCAGGAGACGCTGCCTCAAACGCAGCAACCCACTGCTTTGCCCTCGGTCATCAAGTTCGGGAACACCCCTCAAAAACCAGCACCAGCACTGCCTCCTCAGGTTGCTATAGAGCCCGGCCTCATGCCCAGCCCCTTGGATTCTCTTCAAACTCCTCCCCGCAGGGCTGAAGACATCAGCACACACTCCTCCCTGCCACCACAGACCATTTACTCATTCGATAACATCCGCCCATCAGAACCAACGTTCAGCCTCCCAGATCTGACCTCAACCAGCCCCTCGCCCAATCTAGTGCCAGACTCTTCCCAGGAGCTGGTGATTGACAGCGACATTGAGTCTGGATCTTCTCAGCCCACAGACGCTCAGGCACCGGAGCCCACAAATTCTCAGGCACAGGAGAAGGCAAGTATACATTCAAACACAGAGAGACAGTCACTCTGCTCAGTGGAACAATCACACATCTTCATAGTACAGTACTGTGCAAGAGCCTTGAATCACGCCTCAATTTTAGTTATAATTAAAACTGAAATTATTAAAATGTTGCTTGGAGGTGCAACGATTTATTGAAACATGTGCAAACAGACGTGGAAATACAGTACACATGAGTGTACAATTTTAAAGAGCTTGAAACTCCATATTTGGTATAACCACCTTTATTCGTCAGCGGTACTCTAAGTAGTCTTTAGGAAAAGTTCTCCAGACTTCTTGAAGGACATTGAAAGCCCTTGTTTGGATGTTGACTACATTTTGTTCTGTTTCTGTTAAAATGATCCCACGCTGCTTCAGTGCTGGCTCTGGGTGGGTCACTGACTGATAGTAGGGCTGTGCGATATGACCAAAATCTCATATCCCGATATATCGTCCTGACAACGCTATAAATCACAGAAATGTAACATTTTCTGTAAATTCTGTGAATCTCGGGCAACTCGACCTGCGTGAAGTGTTTCCAGCTGCGCGTCATGTAGCTGGAGTTGAGTGTTTTAACCGATGCATGAAACGATACATTTTTAGACATAGTTTTGGGTGCCTTGAAAAGCGCTATATAAATCCAATCCATTATTATTATTATAGATGTAACGGCCGCTGTTTTCTTTGTATTTATTACACGGCGTGCTGCGGGGAAAAGCCTGTTCTAACATTTGAGTCTAAGGTTTCTTTTAAGCACCTGACGGCTCTTTTTTACTTCTCATCCATAAACTGTCTCCATACTCTTTCACGTGATTCTTGCATAGGTGGTAGAGGTTTGCCGGGTTTCAGTCTGAGGTGGGAACCGGTTTCCTGCATAATTTGCATAGTACAGTTTTCTGGTCTGTGGCAGACTTTTCATAACCAAACCATGTCCATGCTACAGAGGGACACGACCTCTGCTGTGTTTAACAGACTTTGGATGCTCACTGTTGGCAGTTTTGCCAGCCTTTCCTTCCCAGGACATGACCTTTAGATACTGTTCATCTGCTATAAGTAATTTTTTTGCCCCTTCTTTTTGATATGCCAAGTTTGCAGCTAATAGCTCTTTCTGAGTCACCTTGCAAAAAGTGCAAAAAGAAATAGGATTGCCAAGTTTTCTGTTACATGTATATACAACACTGTTTATTTATGTGCCTTTCTTTTTTGCTTGAATGATTCATAGGTCAGTGTTAAGTGACTAAAGAAACAAAACCAAAAAAAGGACTTGGGGAAAAGGCAGCCAATGTCTGCAGAAAAATCTTTGACAGGCCTTCAGAAAGTCTGGAGAACTCTTGTTCAAGATTACAGAAAACCACACAAAGTCTGGAGTTTTACACAGTACTGGATATCATACATATTTTGAGTTTTCAAGCAGTTCATTTTCTTTGAAAATGGTAGAACTTTTTTAATAATACAGGATATTTGATTTAGTTTATTATGTGTGTTTTTATATTGATAGTAATGTCTATAAAAGAACGTCAAAGTGTATTTTAGAATTCTGCAGCTGCTTTTTTGTGATGCCGTAAATACTGGTGATAAAACAACTGACTGGATTACTCCATAAATTTTACAGTCCTGTCAAAGTCTGACTTTAATCTCCTCTCAGCGCTACACTCGATGCACCTTTACCAAGGTTATTATAGTTAAGTAGAACTCAGCTAAAACTTTGACTTGTCTGTTGGAATATATCTTTTTGACGTGGTATACCTGACAAATACCCCTCCATATAATGAAAAGTAGAACTAATTGAAAACAATAAACACCAAATTAAAACTAGACTTTTTATAAATAAAGTTAAATGGAATGAGCATGCCCACTAAAGTCACTATGGACTCCTGTTCTAGTTCTCTTTGGCGGGGTTGTGTTGTAGTTTGAATATGTCAGAGAAAAAACAGAGAACCTGTCTTTGAGCAGCAGATGGAGAGCAGCGTTGTCCTGTCTGGAGATGAGACCAGCATGTTGGACACTGAAACCAGTTCCTCCTCAGTGAGCAGCAGCACCACAGTCAGCACCCAGAGCTCAGGAAAGGCACGCAAGCCCCCCAAAATCCTGCAGCTCAGCCCACCAGCTCTGCTCGTCACTGCCTCTGACTTCTCCCCCATGAATCTCTGCAGCCCCTCACTGCCTACTGCCTCGCTCACACCAGCAATGCTTCAGGTGAGTTCACAGAAACGGCTCAAACAGGTAGTGATCATGTCCAGCAGGGGGCAGCAGTGCTTCAGGATTAACTGATGCTCCCTTGCTTTGTTGTGATGTTTGAGTCTTCCTGGTCATGCTATTTACAGATCACATGCCTGCGTGCGCTGCTGTATAAAATGTCACAGTCTGTTAGATGTAATTGTGTTGTTGATTCACTATTTGTCCCCCAGCAGGCCAGCCAGGTCTGATCATGAGATCCAGCTCAGACTGAGTTCATGTTTTCTCTGTTCGCAGCCTGTGATGGAGTCAGAGCTGCACTGGTGGCATCAGAGGTTTTAGCTGTAGTTGATTTTTAACACACGGTGATCCATCCTGATATTTCCTGTCTTTCTATAAAACTAGATCAAAATCCTATCCAGATATTTTTAGACTGAGTGGGGATATTTTCAACTAAAGCAATGTGTGAGAGGTCTCGATCACTTTTAATAACAATGAAAGAGTAATTTCCAAGGTGTCATGTAAAAGCAGTTTGCTTCTGTTTGAATGTCTCTTTATGTTTTCAGGAAACTATTGTTCTTTTTTCTGATGTCTAACATAATGTCTGTGTTGTTGGGTAAAGAAGTTTTGCCACTGGGGAAAAAGTCTCTTACGTCACATAGCCTGGGACTTGTTTGTCTCAATTTGGTCACTTGGTATTTATTATTCTGTGTATTGTCTTTGAATGTGTCAGTGTGTGTCCTGCCTTAGACATCGTCATTATATGCCACATATAGTGTAATAACTGAAATAACACAAATAGAAATGAGTAATGTTAAAAGAGTCATGTGAGCAAGACGAGCCTGTAGAGATTCTCTAGAGCTGTTCTTGCAAAAGCAAAGTGTGTTTGGCACCACAAAGGATTCAGATCACAATTCTGATTGCAAAAACTGCCAGACAAAAAACAAAAAAGAAAACCAAGTGAAAGTACTTTGGCACTAACTCGGTGGTAGTTGTTCCTTTGGTTTGTGATTCTCTCTCCGTGCCATATCAGATCATATATCACATGCATATTTATTCATTCAAGTAGCTGTGGATGTGCAGATTCTCTATGATCCCCTTGGGTATCCTGCAGCATCCTCAGCATCCTACTTCCCGGACCTTGATAAGGTCTATTAGTGCGTTGTAATTGCATTCTCAGGGTTCCTCCGAGAAATACATGCTGCTGCTGCTAATGGGCAACACTGGAGTCGAACAAAAGCATCGTGATCCTAACAGTTAGACTAGAAATAAACTCCAAAAATGCAACGTGACACCTCTGTGCAGCACAATGACTAGAAAGTCATGACTCTGTGTTTTTGCATATTTGGATAGTGAAACAGTGAAGATGGAGAGGGAAGACATGCAGCAGGCTGCTGCTCTCTCACTGAGCCAAACTGACACCCAATGTGTATTTATTTATTTATTTTTAAAAATCTGCTATAAATACATCTTTATCATTTCAATTCAATTCAATTTTATTTATATAGCGCCAAATCACAACAAAAGTCGCCTCAAGGCGCTTCATAGATACAGAGAAAAACCCAACAATCATATGACCCCCTATGAGCAAGCACTTTGGCGACAGTGGGAAGGAAAAACTCCCTTTTAACAGGAAGAAACCTCCGGCAGAACCAGGCTCAGGGAGGGGCGGCCATCTGCCATTTATGTACATTTATGTACATTAATCTCAGTCTAGTTTAATTGTGGGCCTTGTTTTGTCCTCCTTAGACTCCAACGCTTCTGCTGACTCCAAGCCCGCTTCTCTCCAACATCCACTTCTGGAGCACGCTCAGTCCGGTCGCTCCACTCAGCCCAGCCACGCGACGCCAGGGAGGCCATCTGTTCCAAGTCAGTGCCGCTCTCTGCTCTCAGTCAGTCTTTCTGTATCTATCGGTGCACCTAACTCACCCCTTGATAATCTCTTTCAGTTTCCGTCGGTCGTCACCCCCCAGTTCCAGATCCCAGTGCACAGCATGGACGGGACCAACACACCTGGCCCCATTTCACCGGACCCTCAGAAAACATAGGAGTAGCCCGTCTCCTCCTCCCCTCAGTACCAACACATTTGGACCCAGAAAGCCAGACACCTACCCTTCTCCCGCTCCTACTCCACCTTCTCCACCCACATCCAGGACGATGATGTGAGAGCTGAGTGTTTATTTCACATCACTCTGGTGCTTTGAAGTTCTCTGCCACAGGATTCACACTACGCTCAGGTGTGTGGAGAAGTGTCGGCAGGCCTGCTGTTTGACTGCTTTGCTGTGCTTGTTTATTTTCATCTTCACTATTATCTTAATAATACCAACACACTTAAACCGAGTCTGGCTTTTTTGCGGCTCCTTGTGTCACAAAAGTTGAAAGAAAGTTGTTTTTTGAAACCCCTTTTTTATGGAAGCAGATGTGCACGTGGACTGAACCCTCAGCAGCTGCAGTCTTCATACCTGGACACACGGAGCAGCTGAATCTTTCCTTTTATAGACTCAGACCTTCTTTTCTCGTGCTAAAGTGTTCTTGCCAAACACGACACCGGGCCTGCTCACAGTGATTCTGTTTGGTTTTGTGCTCAGTCCTTAACTTTTCCTCTAGTTTAAAGGATTTATTTCAACCTGCATGTTTACCTGCAGCTCCTCTATCTTTTAGCCAGGTCTCAACACAAATTTAAATGTTAAGCCTTGCCTCAGCTGCTCTGTCTTATCGTGACATGTGGCCATAATCCAAGCTGAACCATGAACCTTGCCTCGGTGTATCAGCTCTAGTGAATCGTGCGTCTCTAGTAGAATAGGTCTGAAATCCAGCATGAGCTGCTCTGCCTCCGGTTGGTAAAGCTTTCACGTGGGAATGAAAGAAAGCGAAGCCATAACTCTTTCTCCAAGCAACGACAAATCCTTCATTTGTAATTCAGGCATCATGTTAACGGCTCTTACCATAAGTGTCTCAAACAAACCATGTAAGAGAAAAGCCGAGAGAAAATAGCATAGCAGCCACTCTACTGCCACTCCAGCAGAAACCGCTAAAGCTCAGTGATTAATATGCATAACATTAGTTCAGTATGGATGAAAGCTCACCTGTGCCAACACCAGTTTATCATTATCTGATGTAGTTATGCAAAAGACAGGTGATGTGGAGAAGTCTCCAGTACAGCATTAAAATGGATGTTTACAGCCTCTTGTTTCCTAACACTGAGGCTTCAAAATGTTTAAACCAAAACCAATTGGCAATGTCGTGGAGACTGTGTCCATTTTCTCTGTACAATTTGTTTAACATGCAGTAAAAATGGCAGACATCATATATACTGGGTTATTCTGTCAGCTGAGGTGGTGTTTTTAAAGACGTAATATCTTTGAGCTGATGTATTAGTTGATCTTTGGTGGGAGCTTTAACCAGAAGGATTCTTCTCCCAGGAAACATTCCCAGCATCTTTTACAGCCTCACTGATATCTGATGTGTTGCTTGGCGTGTCAGTGCTGTTGTTGGTTCCCAGCACTGGCTGTTAGCCATCTGAACATGCAGTGACGAGCCAAAGCATTTATGGTCACCTCTCATCATATGCTAATGAACCTTCATGTGCCACAGTGCACACCTGCTGTGTTGGGGATTATATCAGACAGTTGAAGGTGGTTTGTTGGTTACTACCCCACACGCCAGCCTTGGTGTTCCATATGTGTTGTCGCTGGCCATTGTAAGAGCTATCTGCTTGTTTCTCCGAGATTTACTAGTTCGCAGTTCGCTCACAGTACCTTTAAACACACCCCAGATTATTCTCTCTTCATGAGAGCAGCCATCATGTTGTGGCTCATCTGCAGAAAAGCTCCTTCCCCCTTAGGACCCTCTATTCGCTGATCAGCCATGAGAGGTTTGCACCTTCTTTGCCACTGATTTTAAAGCCATACGTCTGAGTGACAGACTGAAATCCCAAAGGTGGTAAATCCCACCTTTCTATGCTAAACATGCAAATTGTACATGACATGTTTACACAATACTTGGATAAAACACACTGAATTTTGTGTGTTTACCAGACTTTGCACCCCAGGGATGGATGTTGGGGAGTGGGGGAACTTACTGCTCATTTCTGCTCAACTAACTGACCCCACTGTCCATCAGAGTGATATATGGTGCCTTACCACAGCCGCGCCCACGTTTCTCCCGATACTGGATGGAGGTAAAGCGATGGAACAGTATACCACAGCTCTCCTCTTCGCTTTTATGCCATATCTTAGACCAAACCCCGGAAGTTTGGAGTAAAACTTCACCAGGGATGTTTTGTGCACAAGCACACTGCAGCTCAAATGTGCCGCAGTGACCTTCTGGATGCTTTACTGTACATACGGACAGCAACATGCACAGCATGTAAAATGTAATCAGGCAGTGTATTAAAGTTGGCAGCCATGTCTGTTTCCAGCCTGCTTCTCAATGTTCTACTCAGAAAGTATATGAATATATATAGAAGACCTGTTTAAGCTTTTGTTTGTGTGTAATCTTCTTTATTTTCCTGTAACACAAATAGAATTTTAAGATTAATTTCTATTTTTGTAATGGCCAAGTAGTTAGATGTCTCCTATGTTGGGTTTTCTGATTTAATGTTCTCTCTGTGCATGTGTTTCCTCTTGTGGATTTAGGAGGAGGTGGCAACGACAGCCCCGTGGCGATGTTGGCCATTTTTGTTTTGTTTTGTAGGGAATCAAAGCCTTATGGGATAAATCTAAATCTGCATTTTCTATGTTATGTGTTTTGATAATAGTGCTGATATTGTAAATGCAGATGTTGTGATGAAACGTTTGCACTTAAATCTTCGGGGTTCCTGTAGTATTGGATTCTGTCACTTTTCTATGCCTCAGAGTTGCTCTTTGAAATGTTGTTTGCTTACTGAGAAATGTCTATTTTCCCAAAGGGAGGAAACAATTATGCACTTGGTATTTTATATGGCAAACAAGAGTTTAATCTTTTACCGTGTATCAAATAAATTTACAATAATTTGTAATCAGGCACTGCCACTTAATATTTATTTGTATGACTTTATACCCAATAGAATTGGTAAGCTATATTGCATATTTTTGCAGTAACTTTAATGAAAAAAAAAAAACTATGAAATAGCTGGAATGTGACCTCAACCTCAACTCCATTTAAAATTTCCTCTTGGCCTTTTATTCATCGACATATTTGTTTTTGTATTCTGATTTTATTTTATTTTTTCCCCCCTTGACTTTTCCTTCAAATGTAAAATCTTGTTTTGGACAAATTGAGCCCCTTCTTGCTTTGTATTGTCCAGTTCTCCAACTGTTTGATGCTTTTTTCAAATGTTTACAAGCTGCTTGTCTTAAGTGGCGTATTGATGTGCGAGGAAGTGTTTATATCAAAAGAGTTAGGTGAGACCAATAATAAAAGATCTCTAACTGACTGCGTCTTTAATGTCCGCCAGGAAACAAACACGCGCATACACTCACACAAATCAGTTTCACTTTTAAATGAATTTCACTTTCTAAACTTATTCAGACTCAGAAAAAGTGAATTTAATTTTATTGACTGAAAATGATCAGGAATAGCCTCTAAATACATCGATTCTCTGTTGTAATTCCAGTAGTGCTGTAGTCCAGCAGCATCAGCATCAAGCTTCAAAACATTGCTACATTGTCTACATCACCACTTTGAATACAAGTTGTTCCAGACTTGGTTATGTGCTCAAGTTACCACATTGATCTGTCCAGTTCAAACAGTGAAAGCATCTTGACTGAAAACTCTTGAAAGACTTTAAGAATGAACTGTAATAAACTCTCAAATATTAAGAATTTAATGTGCCCAAAGGTGTTTTGGCATGCAGACTGAAACAGCCAGGGATCAAACCACCAACCTTCTAATTAACAGATGACCTGCGCTGTCTCCTGAGCTACAGCCACCTCAGGTCGCTCCTGAATGAAGTGTGAGAAGCTTCTGACCTGTGCTAAGGAGACAACAAACTGGACTTTTGTTCTGTGATCCGGTCCTCTTTTCCTCTTTTCAGATTAAAGCAAATTTTGTACTTCATTTGAAAATCCTGGAGGAAGAGTGGAGAGGCAGTAAGTCCAAGGTGTTTGAAGTCTAGTGTAAAGCCTGTGATGACTCTTGCACCATGTCCTTTGCTGGTATTTGTGGTGGTCGGTCCACTATTATAAAGTCAAAAGCCAAACTTTGCCATGTCATTTCAGAACACTTCATGCTTTAATCTGTTGACAAGCTATATGGAGAAGAACTTTAGCTTTCAGAAGGACTTTACCAAATGATTTTCTGGCCATATTCCCACTGGCCAGCCAACTCGCTCACACATGAACTCCACATGTTGAAAAAAAAGACAAGAACCACCCAACCTCAAACTACAGATGAGCTGAAGACCGCTATCAAAGCAACCTAGGCTTTAATAACACCTCAGCAGTCCCACAAGCTAATGAACTCCATTAATACAGTCAGTGTTTAAATGAGCATACTTTTCAGATATTTCTGTAAATACTTTTCTGCTTGACCTTGGAAAATATTCTAATAATCTGAGATAATGGATTACCGATTTTTATGAGCCGCACGCTATGAAAGAGGTGTAACTATGGAAGGTGTTGGGATACTGAGTCGTTTTACCACAGGTAACCATTTTAATATAAATGGTATGTTGAACATGGTACACTTGAGCTCCCCAGCCTCCCTCAGGATTCTTTTGAAGGCCTACCAGACGTGGGAATCGTCTTTACAGCACCACTTAGTACCCTTTCAAATGACATATGGCAAAACCAAATTTAAACTTTAGAATAAAAGAACCGTTAAGTCGAATATGCATAACATATAGTATATATAAGACACTTGAATTGAAAGATAAGATCTTTTGGTATCTGACACTTTGCTTGTCTGGTGTGGCTGTAGCTCAAGAGGTCATCTACTAAACAGAAGCTTGCATCCATCAGTGTGTAAATGTTGGATATACTACTTATAAGTGCTTAAGCATAGGGAAGAAAAGCACTTAGGTGAATGAGACATGATGTATAAAGAGCTTGGATTGTTCAGGTAGAATAGCAAAGCACTATATAAGAACTTGATTGATCTATTTTATTGTAGGATCTTTACCTTATGATATGAAGTGCTTGAGGTGACTGTTGTTGTGATTTGGTTCTATATAGGTGAAAGTGAATTGAAACTCTTTGCTCGTAACACCTACCAGTTCAAAAGTGAAACACTTCAGAGAAAGGCCTGCAGTCTGGCCCCATCCAAAACCACTTTTGATGACTGATAATCTCCATTAGTGACTCACTTTACATGCACACACAGGATTGACTGTATTGCGTATTGATGTGTGAGGAAGAGTTCATATAAGAAGAATTGCAGTAGGAGAAACCAATAATAAAAGATCTCTAACCGACTGCATCTTATCTTTATTTTCCACCACCGAACGAGTCCTATTATAAGAGTCCATTCACATTCATACTGAAGAGGTCGTATTTAATCAACGCACAGTTTAATGTGCTCAAAGAGATGATTGTGTACACTCTAATCATCCATTGAGCCGTTTGTTGATCATCAGGCTGTGAAAGTAGGGTGCAAATAATTATTCAGCATGTGATTTCCATGACGCAGGAGTGTGATTGTGAACCCTCCACCCCGGGGGAAGAAGTGTCAGCTTCTCCTGAAGCATTTCTCCCTTTGCTGTATCCTCTGTTCTCTGGGTTCCAGTGCATCACGAGTCTCCGGTCTTTGGCTTCTCTTTCATGTCTGTGCATTCAGACAAATCTGAGAGGTAAAAGAGTTGGTTACTAAAGGAAAACAGGAGAAAAAAAAAAGACATCCACAGGCTGACACGTCACATCGGATGCGATATTGTCAAGCTGAAAAAAATCTATGAAAAAGGAGGTTTGATTGTTGGTTCGCTACCTGTGAGCGCAGATAGAACCAGAATGAAACGTCAGAATTAGTCCAAACAAGTCCAGGCAGCAACCTCCAGGGCAGAAAATGTGACTGAAGCACAAGTGCCAAAATTGCAGTTCCTCTAATGGCCACATGAGGCTGCCTTTTGTATCACCAGTGTTTTGGCAAATCATTTAGTCTTTCTGCATGTATTTACCTGTGTGCTGGCTTCTGTGGATATTCTGGATATAGAGGAGCAGCAGGAACAGGCAGAAGCCGATAAAGGATGCTACTGTACCGCACAGCAGGAAGGAGTAGCTGCCCTGACTGTGGATCACCTGCAGGAGCCACACACATAAACACACATTGAGTTCCAAATCGCAAAGATCTCAGTGGTCAACCCTGGGAAGCAATGGAGCCAACAAGCAACGTTAGTGAGGCGCTTTAGCCTAATTCATGCAGACACAGCAGGCTACAGTCACTGCACAAATGCTCAGTAGTGACCTGAAAGCCTGTTCCCCAGTGAGGGGACATGCACTATTATATTACACTTATTTAAATGTTTCAGAAAGAAACGAGAAATTCATATAAAACACTGAATGTAAAAGCATTTTGTGAAAGCGAATGCTTT